TAATTCCCCCCCCCCCCCCCAAATTGTCTAAGTGACCTTTTAATCTTCATCAAACTGTTTTACAAGAATGCTTGCATTATCTGAATATTTATACTATATATATATACACACACTATATATATGTATTTATACTATTTTCACTATTTTTCATTCTGAAAACTAACATTTTCCAGCACAGTATCCCAGAGACTTGAAACCACCAACAGAACGGTTTCTTTTTTTACCCTTTAAAAATTAGCGCTCACACTTTCAGTTTACAGACCACAGCTTGAAAAACCTCATTTTACTGAGTTAATTAAGTACTCATATTGCAAATGCTTTTCATCACTTTTTCCTTTCTATAATTATTCACAACCAACAACGAAAATGAAACTGAAACCATATTCACCAATCAAGAAAGCAGAAGAACAGCAGAAAAAAAACCTACTGCTTTAATAAGAAGGCAGACGCAGACGTCCAAGAGTGGTGGGACTTTTGGTTATCAAATGAAAGATTAATGCAACTTTTGTAAAAGACAGGGTCAAGGAAAACACCACCGTGTCAGCCACACGTTAGGTTGCCTCTTAGATGTAGCTGTAGAGGATCTTACTATACATTCTACAGTTGTGAAAACATGATTGCAATGTAAGCGCTGCTCTTACAGATGGAAAGTAAACAGCAGCATCAAGTCATCTCGTTCATGATGACTTTGCTGTGCAGAGAACCCATCTGAATCAGCAACAGAACTCTACCAAACAGCAACATGATTTCCCTTAAACATCAGCTCCTCATCACTGACCACTGCATATATTCTCAAAACTTTGGGTCAGGGCGAGGAAGGTCAGCGAAGCTTGATGCAGAAAGAAAATGAAATGATCAATAATAATCCGATGTAAACTCTTGGTTTTCCTAGACTTCCTGATCTACCTACAGACTACCTTATTCCTGAAGACTACCAGTTGTTTTTTTTTAGGGATTTGGCACCACTGATGGGAACAAGGCAGTGAGCCAGGAAAGGCCAAAAGCACTGAACTAAGGAAAATAAATAAGACAGGAAAAGAGAGGAAAAACTGAGGCCTCTTCACCCTCTTCCTTCCCATCTTCAATGCCTTCTATTGCCCCAGGTCTCAGGAAACTCTCCATTCCAGAAACCAAGACTTACAGTCGGCGTACAAATACTGTATCTTTCAGGTAGTGCACATATGGTTGCAAAAACATCAGCCACTTTCTGTTTTTTTAAAAATGATGTTCCTTTATTTTAAAAATGTAAATAACGGTATGAAATCAGGAAATGTTTATCACTGACAGTGTAAGCAATCTGTCTGGCTTGATTTTGCCTCCAATTTTTAGCTGGGTCTTGAACTTAATGAACATGTATCCAGATTCTGTCCTGTTGAGATCAAAAGGGCAACTGATATGCTGAAAGTGAAGCAAGATACCAGTATTTTTAAAGGATTAAGTAAAGAAATAATATTCAGTCATTTTGCTTTGTTTTGGAACATCACTAGAAAGATGGAAGTTTAAAAAGGCTTTTTTTTTTTTTTTTTTTTTTTTAAAGTGAACTGTAGTTACATTCTCTCCCCTGGAGCACTTGCAGATAACTGTCTCAAAGCATTACCTAAGTGCACATTTACCTGACTCTTCCATATCTTAAAAAAACACACATTATTTTTATTATAGATTTCAGTTAAACTTTTACATGTACACCTCTTCACCGATCCTCACATTACTAGTGGCACTGCAAAGTGATAATGAATACAGAGTGATGTAAAACTGCAGCAATTAACAAACTGCTTGCTAACCATCATCATCTTTACAACAAGAATACTCATAGTTCCTATTTCTGGTTTTGTTGCCATGGCCCTATAGCATGCCCGGTAAACAAGGAATCTTATTACACAGTAATGAAGGTATCATGTCATTTTTTGTTTTGTAATGTTTACTAAGCATAAATTTTCCATGACAATGAGATACTTGATTCTTCTGGAACTCAACATGTTCATCAATTGCCCATCCAACAGCTTACATACAACTGCAACTTCTCTTCAAAAAAAGAAAGGTGAAACTCATTTTATTCAGGAACTATGTGAGTGCAGTAAATAAAAGCTAAGCCTCCCTTCTGCTGTCCCTTCACTCTGCCAGAACTGGTTTTGAGAAATCCCAGCCAGGTTGCACCTCAAATTTCTGAAAGTAACTGAACTTTATTTTCCACGAAGACTGAATATTCAACTTCGAAACAGATTCTTGCTTTTTTCTTTCTTATTCCCAGGTGTTGGCACGATGGCCAAACTAAAAAAGAAAAAAAGTTGGCCTCTCCAAACACTTTCCCCTGGAACAGACTGGAGTAGATGGGGAATGGTAACCACGCTATCCTGGCCAACAACCGACTGATGTCTCTGCAGGCCTGTTCTGTATCTTTAGATGCCATGGGTTAATAAGGTCATATTTTTAATCTTGTTTAAAACTTTTGCTTAGACTGTGTAGGGTAGGCCAAACAAAGCATTAAAGTCTATTAGTTGAGGATTATAAGAAAAATCTCAAATCCTGCTGTTTTCAATATTTAAATGGGCCAAAGCAAAGCTGCACATGGCTTTCAGGAAAACTTATAAAGTCTATTTTAGGTACTATAAATAAGATGACATTTTAATTCAAATAACATGAAATCAGAATGACACAAAGGTCAGGAAAATCAAATATTCCTTGAAAACAAACCTAATCAGTATTCAGTAAAGAACTTCTCCACCTTTGGCTGAGCTTTACTATTAAAATGGCAAAATTTTAGTCAGACTTTATCAAATCTTATGCAATGAACACATTACCAAACTAATTATCAGAAAGCAAACTAATTTAATTTGAGCGTTAATTTCTGGTTTACCTTCCAGGTAATATGAATAACCATCATTTGGAAAAAAAATATTTAAAGTTTAAAAAGAACATTCCAGAGGACCATGCACTCAGCTTATCCTGTATAAACATCTCACAGGAAAAGTTTAAAAAAAAAAAAAAGAAATAAAATCAGTGCTGAAATGAATGGTCAATACAAAATATGTTAAAGAATTAAATAAAAAAGAAAAGAAAAGAAACCCCTTTATGCCATTAATCTAAATTCCCGAAAGCAAAAAAGCTTGCATTTCTTGGTCACTCGTGACAGGTTAAGAAGCCATTGGCCTTATTGCAAAGTTCTGTTCAACAGGCAGAGTTCGGGCAAGATTGAAGAGACAAACACAAAGAACTACCTAGTTTAAAATCAGAACATAGTATATTACTACTTTTTTTCCAGAAAAAGATAGATTTTATGAACAGAAATGAAGTGATATGTTTCTTCAAACCCTACAAACCCACAATAAGATAGCTAGAAAAGAGTCTAAAACATGCAGAGTGCACAACAGTAATAAAATTTCATTTTTTTCCTTTAGAAGGAAAGATAGCCATGGTAATATAGCACTATCATTTCAACACATATCAATTACCTGAGTTAGTGGGGAAACCCTCCCTACATCTCCCCTAAATCCCCTGTTTATACAGGAAACTCCACACTTTAAATGTAGGAGTATTTTAGGAACCAGACATGAGATGTGTCATGAAGAACACTGTGAAGAGGTGAATTTAATGCTGTGGGATGCATCATCTGAGTGAAAGTAAGAAGACTTTGATCAGATAATATGCAACAGAAAAAGGCTTTTAATGAGAGTAAATTATGATTGCCAATTAATCCCACTATGAACATGGCCTAAAAAAGGAACATACTCTGGAACATGAATACTTACAACGTGAATACAAAATATTGGAACACTCTTTGCATATTGCAGATATAAATGCTAGCTTTCATTTTTGAAAAATGTCGTTTTCTTTCTCAACTTGTCTTTTAACACGTGATTTCCTATGTGCAGCCTTAGCATAATAAATAATGCCGCATAATCGTTTGCAATTTAATAGTACGTATACGTTATTTCACCACAAGTGAGCCTGTCTGGAATCCTGAAGGGATGTAACAGCATAGGCAGAGTACACCATGCGACACAAGGACACTTACTTAAAATGACTGGCTTTGTATTATATAATAATCCCCAAAAACCATGTTAGAATGTTCTTTGTTAATTATGTACC